CGCTCTTTAGGAGGACCTTTGGTGACTCAGCTCATGTGTGAAACTAAACAAATCCCACCACAGCATACAGTCCAGCTAGGCCTATCTCAATGCCCTCAATAGTGTCCTGTAGCGGTGGTGGACAACCTGCTGCCCATTGGGGTTCTATGTGTGGCTCACGAGACATTTTGTTTACTGTTGCACATGTGCAGGGTGGCCAGATTCCATTGGTTTCCATTCATATCATTTTCTTTACCCCACTAGTATTAATAAAGTGACATACATGTAAAGCAAGGGCAGGGGAAATGAGGTGTGTGTGGATTGAACACAACATTGACTAAGAGCTGTGTGCTCCCTCTGTGTTCAGTCCGAATGGTAAGAATCAATCAGCATGTCTCACAAAGTCTAGGGATGCAAGCGTGGTTAGCAAAACTACTCTATCCCAGCAGGCTGTCTTGGTTACGACAATCTTGCAGCCCAAAGAGACAGAGGGCCACTTATGCAGCCCACTCACTAGCCAAGGTTGCCCATCAGTGTCTTACAGCTTTCCCTGAGCTCAGTCCTTCAATAGTCCTTCCTCACTGGAGACTCTGATGTGGAGCAATGCCCTTAGGGCTTCCTTGCTGGAGACTCTTTGCTTTCATTCGGATTCTCTTGAGTCCTCAGAGACCCCAGCTCTCCAGCTGAGTCACTTCTCTTGAACTCAATTCACAAATCCCCAGATCTCCATCTGAATCAGTCTCAGTTGAGCCCCCTTCCCTCCAGCTGCTGTTGGGGGGACTGAGGCTCACCCACTACTCCAGACCCCAACCCAGGGATCTTCTAAATATCAGCCACATCCTTTTAATTAACTACATTTTCCTGGGCAACTTCCCTGTGACCCTTATCTTTCTAGAGTCCTAGCAGCCAGGAGCACTTTCCTTGCTCCCCAGTCCCTACTGGCTGACTGAATGCACATTGACCCTGCAGCTCTTTTTACATTGAGCCTGATTAGCTTCTTAGCTTGGAGGACTCTCTTCTACTGCTCTTTCTTGGAATGGGTGTGGGAGGACCGCGAGGCTTCTTGCAGGGAGCCTCCAGCTCTAATACACCTGATCGTTGGCACAGCGCGGTGGCCATGTTTATTTTAACAAAGCGGGGATTATTTAAATCCCCGCTTTTTTGCCTAAGCCGGGTAAACTAGTTTACATGGCTCCATCGACAGTGCTATGTAATCTAGACGTACCCCTACTATCTCCTTTCCCATCCCAACAAAATGCTGTGTAACGAAGACCACCACCATCACGCAGGGAGTAGCTTAATTTTTACAGAGGTATCACTGCTGTTGCTGCATATTGGAATGTGGTGTGCATACAGATCAAATCTGTTCACTAATATTCCTGTCACAGGGCACACCACTCACCATTTACCCAAGCAATGGGTGACACAGCTAGTGAATGGGCCTCATCGTCGTTGTAGTCTCCTGGGTTAGGGTCATTTTGCATGCCTAGAAATTGCGAGGTGTGCCGACTGAACTGCAGCAGCACTTTGAGTGGCTTCAGAGGGAGCACCCCACTCTTAGTCAATGTTGTGTGCAATCACCACACCCCATGCTTCACATGGCCTTGTTTTATGTGCACGTGACTTTATTAATACTGGGGGTGGGGAAATGATGCAGACAGAAACTAGTGGAATCTGGCCACCCTGCACGTGGGCAACAATAAACAAAAGGTCCCTGAGGTTACCCACCACTGATTTATACCAGCTCCTGCATATTGCTCTGGGAATTAACATATTCAGTCACCATTTTCTTGGATGGTTTGCAGTGTGTGCAGTGACTCCAACTCACTGGCCTGCCTGCAGCTCCTCTCTGTTTCAGGAACTGCAGTGTCCTTGCTGAGACTCAGCCCTCTGGCTAGGTCAGTCAAAGTTCCCCCTCCCCAAGTATAGTTCTCTAGTATTCCTAGTCGGCCTTCCCCTTGACTGCCTCTCTGCAACTCCCAGTAGAAGTCAGGCCACCCTCATCTACAACTTCTAGCCCAAGGACACTCAGCTCAGCAGTCCAGGCTCTCTCATAAGCCTCACTGCCTCTCTTCTGAGCCGTCTCCTCATTCCCAAAGCCCATGACTGCAGCCAACACACTTTGCAGTCTCCAACCATTCCTCCCCTTCTGCTGGGGGTGTTTCCCCTTTCTCAGAGGCCCTAACTACTTCCAAATTCTGTTCTTTATGTGTCCTCCCCATCTCATTCCTCCTCAGCTGGGTTCCCTTGCCCACTCCAGGAATATATCCCTGCCTGATTCCTCTCAGCTCTGGCCTGTCGGGTTAATTTGCCTCCTCTTTGGCACTCATTAACTCTCACAACATTTGAGGGGCAGAGGGGAAATATCTCATCACAACTTCCCATTTTAAAAAAAACCTACACAAACTCTGAAGAACAAGAATGGCAGGGGGAATAATTTGCTTCAGAACTGAACTTCCTCTATTGGAGCGGTTTCCCTTAGGGATGGGATGAGAGAGCCAGTAGCTGTCCCCAGGGAGAGATGGCAGGGAATGGGGGCTGGTGTCTGAGAGTATGTCTATGCTGCCATTAAACATTCACAGCTGATCTGTATCAGCAGATTTAGGCTCATGGGGTTCAGACTGGAGGAAGAGGGGAGGGCTGTAAACTATAGGGCTTGGGTTAGAGACCAGGCTCTGGGACCCTCTGGGGATATCTACACTGCTATTTTATAGCCCTGCAGCTTGAGTCAGCTGCTATGGGTATCAGCAGGGGAGTGGACTCTTCCCTGTGCTACAGGAAAGTCTCAGCAGGGAA